GGGGGATGGGGGCTTGGGGGAAATTTAGACCTTAGAAAGGAGGGCGCTAGCTGCCTGGAGCCAGTGCCTGGGGTGGGGTGGGGTCCCAGGCCTTTTGCTTTAAGATGCTCTCATCACCCTGTGCTGGGTTAAGAGCTGGGCTGTCTACTCCATAAAGATTTGGAAAGTCTTGGAAACCGGAAGGAGTTCGTTGCTTTCTAGGGTCGCCAGGAGTGGGAATTAACTGGAGGGCCGTGGATGGGCCCTCATGCCTTGGGCTCTGGGACTGCCCTGTCCCCTGCCACCATGAAGATAGCCTTGGAATGTGGGGTGCACCCCACTCCATCTGGCCAGATCTCAACTCCTTTCTACTGAGACTGGCCCCAAGGGGCCCTGCTGTCTGCCTCCTTCTCCAGGGTCTGGCCCCTCCTGCCGGAATGAATGAGGGATTGCAGATAGAGAGTAAGAATCACTAAGCGAGAGAGGGGTGAATTAGGGGGTGCCCGCTTTCCCAAGTCCTCCTCCTCCCCCTGCTTCTCTAGAGCTTTCCCTCAGCTTGGGGAAGGGGGTGGGGAGGGGCCTTGGGAAGGGGAGGGTCCTGCCCCTGAAGGGTTGCCGCTGTTGGGGGTGAGCAGGGTGGTGGCAAGAGGGGAGATAAGCTCATGGTGGGGGAATTAGTGTCCTTGGAGTGTCAGGTGGGAGGACTGAGGACACAGCACTAAGTCCCAGCAAACTCGGCTCCCTCCACACCCCATGGTGCTCTGAGTTGGGCTGCAGGGACCTGAGCTGAGGAGGAGAGCAGAGGGAGCCTGCCCTCAGGGTTTTCTGAGGCCTGGGGCTCCCAAAGCTCTGTCTAGTCTCCTACCCTCCCACCCCAGTTGCATCCTTCAGGTGTGGGAGAGGTCTGAGGAGGGCGAGGGACCCAGGCAGAGGTTCAGGTCCTGCTGCTGGGGATTCCTGGGAAGGACGGGGCTTAGGTGAGTGTAGAGAAGAGATTTTTTTTCCCTCAGCACTTTTAGAACCCACTGAGGGTGGAGCAGAGGGTGGCCAGGCCCCAGGGAGCAGTGGGGTGGGCGATGTGCTTGTGTGTCCCCAGAGGGGCTATGGCATGCGGTGGGTTAAGGAGTGTACTTGCAGACCCAGCTGCATCTCCTTTGTTCTCCAGTCTCAGAATGCCCCACCTTGCCTCTGTTTCCTCAGCTTCAAGGAGGGCAGCCCCTTGGGGCAGAGGCTGGTGGCACTGTCTGGGTCCTGACAGTGGTTGATAGTGGGAGAACTTCCTGGGAGTCCCAGCTGAGTGAGGGATCCCTGCTCCTACTGGGCTGTGAATGGCCTCATTTCAGGCGGTGCCTTGTCCTTCCTGGGGTTAGTGGTCCCAAGCTGCTCAGGCAGTGTCTGCTCTGATGTGGTCCCCTTTGGACACTGCATCCCTCCCCCCAGCCCCCAGAAAATCAGACACAGTCTGCTCCCTTATTCACTCACTCACTGAGCCATCTTCTGGCCACCAGACCGCCTGGGGTCTCCATCCAGATGGAGGCTAGGTTCTGACTTCTGGAGGGAGGAGGTGGGTGAGATGGGCATGGTATTTTGATTAAAAAAAGAGAGAGAGAGAGAGAAGGCAGAAGGTACGGGCAAGGGAGCCCCTCTATCCCTGGAGGAAGAAAAGTAGTGACTGTGGGGGGCAGCCTCTCTGACTTCTAGCCCTAGGGAGAGGCCTCTGATGTCTGCTGGCTGGGAACAGGAGGGCCTCCAGGCCCTTTCTGGATGGGGCCCATGCGAGGTATGGGACCAGGGAGGGGGGAGGAGAGAAAGGGGTGGGGGAAGCAGCCAGGCCGGATGGAAACCACAGGGAAATGCCAACCAGATGGGGTGGGTGCAGTGGGAGGGTCTGTCAGATGTTTGCTGCATGGGGGTCAGAGTCCTGGCCCCATCCTCCACCCCCCAAGCCCAGCCCAGCCCCCATGCCTGGATTGTCCCAGGATGCCATGGGTTCAGAGACCTTAGATGTGGGTGCCAGTTTGAGACTTAGGGGGCCTAGGAGTCCTGGCCCCTCCCCTCCCTCTGAGCACCTCCCCATGTTCTCTCTGCCACTCTGGCTTCAGTGGGAAGGGCCATATGCCTGGGGGAGGGCTAACTCAGGGTGCTCACCTCTTTTTCTGTAACTCTGGCCACATTTTTGTGCCCCCCTCCCTGTAGCAGGAGCCAAGGGGTGAAGTGGTATTCACAACCCTGCTGGGGCAGTCTGGGAAGCAGAGTGCCAGAGTGGGAAGGGAGGAATTCAGGACCCTGGAGGAGGCATAAAGAGCCCTGAAGGTGTAGTGGGTCAGCTTTGGGCTGCTAACTGCAGACCTGCTCTAGTCGGTGCCTTGTTTGGAGAATTGAGAGGGAGGGTCTGAGAGTTCTCAGTCTGTGTTGCCCACTCACAGACCTCCTGCAGTGTCTGTGGTGTGGGTTGGAAGAGCCAGTGGCATGGCAGTGACAACTCTGGCCACCCATCCTCTCTGTCACACGGCTGTCCCCTCCAAGCTAGGCACCCCAACATGAAGTCTGGGGGTAGTGGGCCTGACTGAGATCCAGAGGTGTTGAAGGGCTAGAGGTGCCTGAATGGGCAGAGGTGCCTCCTAGAGGTCGCAGGGTTCTTAGGCAGGCTGCAACCTGCCTCCTGCCTTGTCCTGTGGGCTGGGGCCAAGCCCAGAGGCTGAGGGGCAGGGGCTAGGCAGGGCTGGGCGTCCTCTCGCTGGCACAGGTCGAGGCAGCGTCTCTCTCTTTTGACCTAGTTCTCATCCCTCCCTTCCTGGTGCTGTTTGCACAGCTGGTCCTGGAGCACCTGCCCAGCCCCACCCTGCCCAGTCTCACCTGGAGCTACCTGACCTGTAGGTGCTGCCTCGGGCCCCAGCTCAGGGTGCCTAGGCCTGCTCAGTCTGAGGGCTCAGCAGTGTGCCTGGCTCCTCTTCTCCTGGTCTGGGGTCTAGGACATTGAGAGAGTTCCACACACCTTGGGATTGTGCCAGTGCTATACTGCATCATGGGATGTGAGGCTCGGGCACCAGGGCCTCTGAGGTGTGCATTAGCTTTTCTAGAAATTTCCAGACTTTTCTGGTAGCATGCTGAGGCTGGACCAGACCAGTCACTCCAATTCAACCTTGTAGGACAGAGCAGTAATTCCCTCTGGGCTTCTTCATAGGGGTTAAACATTGGGCTGCTGACCGCAAGGTGAGCCGTTCAAACCCACAAGCTGCTCAGTGGGAGAAAGTTATAAGACTGTCTGCTCCTGTGAAGATTTGCAGTCTCAGAACTTCCCGCCCCACTCCCCCACCCAGGGCATTTCGATTTTGTCTTATCAAGTGACTATGAATTGGATTGGACTCATGGGAGGGCGTCTGGTCTTGGGTTTGGGTGGTAAGGGAGTCAGCCAGGTTGGTCTCCCTTGGGAGCGGTAGGTGGGTTCTGACCTTTAGGGAGCACTGACCTTTAGGGAGCAGGGGAGCCTGAAACCTGTTCATCTTGATGGGAGCGGAAAGCCTCATCTTTCTCCTACGGGTGGGTTGGCAGCTTGAACTGCTGACCCTGATTGGCGCAGCTCCATTTGTGATCCACTGCGCCACCAGACTCTACTCTGGGACTCAGAGGAGCTGGCATCTGGGGCTAGGGCAGGGGGAAGGCGGGTGGCAGGAATTTCTCAAGGATTTAGGCAACGGAGGGCGGTCATCCTGACAACGCTGGAGCATGCCGGCAGACTCGGTCCCAGTACGGCCCTTTGGCGCCTTCATCCTGTGCCTGGACCGGGCGCACACTGGGGCGACCCCACTGGCGTCAGAGTAGCTCTGTGTGCCCGAGAGCTTTCAAAGGCTGGGTTTGGGGGCAGTAGACAGTCAGGCTTTTTTTCTTCGGAGATAACAGAGATCACCCCTGGGCTCCATAGAGCGCCTTTGCTCCACCCGGGGAAGAAGGGGGCGGGTCCCATTCTGGGGTGGGAGGGGCATCGGCTCACGCGCCCCCTCCCCCGCAGGAGTCTGATGCCTCGCACCCTGGAGGGGCAGATCACCATGGAGAAGACCCCCAGCTATTTCGTGACGCGTGAGGCGCCCCGCCGCATCCATCGCATGTCCCCCGACACGAAGCTGATCGTGGTGGTGCGCGACCCCGTGACGCGAGCCATCTCTGACTACGCGCAGACGCTGTCCAAGACTCCGGGCCTGCCCAGCTTTCGCGCGCTGGCCTTCCGCCGCGGCCTGGGACCCGTGGACACGGCCTGGAGCGCCGTGCGCATCGGCCTCTACGCGCAGCACCTGGCCCGCTGGCTGCGCTACTTCCCGCTGTCCCGCTTCCTGTTCGTCAGCGGAGAGCGGCTGGTCAGCGACCCGGCCGGCGAGGTGGGCCGCGTGCAGGACTTCCTGGGCCTCAAGCGGGTCGTCACGGACAAGCACTTCTACTTCAACGCCACCAAGGGCTTCCCCTGCCTCAAGAAGGCCCAGGGGGGCAGCCGACCCCGCTGCCTGGGCAAGTCCAAGGGCCGGCCCCACCCGCGAGTGCCGGAGGCCGTGGTTCAGCGCCTGCGCGACTTCTATCGGCCCTTCAACCACAGGTTCTACCAGATGACCGGCCAGGACTTTGGCTGGGACTGAAAGGCCCCTTGGGAACCTTAATTTATGTCTGTGCCGCTGGGTAGAGTGATGTATTTAAGGAATGGGGGCTGCTTGTGCCTTCTTCCAGTGATCCGGAGGGCTGGGTAGCCGCGGGTGGGAGAACCCTGGCCAGCAGGGGAATCCCACCAGCCGACTTTATGGGGCCCAGATGCTCATTGACGGGTGCTTATTTTCTCACAGAATAAACCAAAATCAAACTCACAATCATCTAGCTGGTTCCGACTCATAGCAACCCCATAGGACTGGGCAGAACTGCCCCTGTGCGTTTCTGAGACCGGAACTCTTTATGGAGTAGAAAGCCTCCCCTTTCCCCCATAGAGTGGCTGGTGGTTTCAAACTGCTGGCCTTTCAGATGGCACTCCAGTGTATAACCTAGCTCTTCTCACCTATAACACCCCCCACCCCCCTATAATGTGCACAGAAAACAGGGTGTTATCCAGGTAAAAACAAATGTGTCATCTGGGCCTGGTAGTGTGATGAGTCTCAAGTGGGGTGGGAAGGGCAAGGCTCAGAGAGGCTTAGGGCCCACCCAGTGACACACAGCAGGGCCCTGGGGGACTCTGGGGCCTGTGCTTCTCAACACGTCACTGGGCTTGTCCTTGTCTTCTGGGGGAGGAGTCCGAGGCTCCAGTTGCTCAGTTAAGTGGTGAGAGGCCACCATCAAAGCCATACCCATGTCCTAATTCCCTGCCCTAGTGTGTATGGAGGAGCCCTGGTGGCACAGAGGATGAAGAACTCTCCGGCTAACCACAAGTTCGGTGGTTCGAATCCACCGCCTGCTCTGAGGGAGATAAATGAGGCGGGCAGACTTGTGGTTGCTCTTGGGTGTCATCAAGACCCCACAGACATGAGAAGGCAACAGAGCCCAGTCCTCTTATTCCCCAGTCCCTGCCATGTGTGAGCTCACTGTCACAGCCACTGGCCCAGGGTCCTTCTCTTTCTTACCGACTGTCCACTTTGCCCACCAGAGTGTCCTCCAGGAACTGGCCTCTCCTGAGCAGGTGTGCAGAGGACTTGAGCCTTGGAAACCCTTCGGGGGGGGGGGGCAGTTCTACTCTGTCCAGCAGGGTGGCTGTTAATCAGACTCGTGATGGCCCTTGGCCTGGATTTTGCATTTAGGACAAAGTAGGAGGAGCTCTCGTACCTCAGGGGTTGAGCACCTGGCTGCTAACCAAAAGGTCAGAGGGTTCAGACCCACCCAGGGGTTCTGCGGTAGAAAGGCCTGACCATCTTCTCCCCACCAAGATTCCCAAACCCAAACCAAACCCACTGCCGGCGAGTTGGTCCTGACCCATAGCAACCCTATACAGAGGACAGAGAAGAACTACCACCACCACCACCACCACCACCCCCCGTATGGTTTCGAAAGCTGTAACTCTTTGTAGATGCAGACTGGCACCTTGCTCGCCAGTGGAGCAACTGGTGGGTTTGAACCACTGACCTTTGGGCTGGCAGTCAAGTATTTTAACCATTGTGCTACTAGGGCTCCTTCCACAAAAAACCCATGGTTTGCGTGGGTCAGTTCTGCTCAGAGTTGGAATCACTGGGCAGCACACAGCAGCAAACATACCCTTGTACAGTGGACATTCCCCCTTCCCAACCCGCAGCCAATGAGCCCTGTGAGCACTGGGGGAGCTGCTTCGAGCAGTTCCCAGCAGGGCCCTGCCCCACCAAGGCTTCGGCCAGCCCCTGCCCCAGGCCCTGGCTGCCCTAGATTGGTGGTGTTTATGGCCACTCCCTCCAGGGATGGGCTACAGTAATGTCCATCTGCAGCCCAGTTGCCCATGAGGCTTCTTGAGAGTCGGGCCAGACTCCTAGACTGGTTGGCTGCTTGCCCACCCCCACTCCCAGGAAGCAGGCCTTCTTGGCCCCTCTCTTCCTGCCAGGTGCCCACTGGCCATCTCTCAGGTCCTTGGCCCTCAATGGCCACCACATGTCTTTCCACCTCCAAGCGCCTCTGAGTGGCTCCCTGGCCTGGGCCAGGATGGAGTAAAGGAAGAGACTAGAGAGAGGGCCAGTCGGTCAGTTATACCCCTTCTCTGGCTATCCTTAGGGTCTGCTGGCTCAGATCCCTGTCCTGGTTCCCCACTATGGTCAGCTGAGGTTAGCGTGCCAAGAAGAGGCTCAGGGCATCTCTGGGTAGGCTGAGGTCTGTCCTCGGACACCCTGGGGCCCACCCTTGCTCCTATCATGGTTTTCTGGGGCCAGCAAAAAAGGGTCTGGAGTCGTCCAGGTGGGCCAGCACTGTCACCAAGCCCCACCGTCCCTGGCCAGGGTAGGCCCAGCTGGGGCTCTTCTGGGCCTCCCTCCTGGAACTTCCTGAGACCACAGCGGAAGCATGGTGGGCAGATGCAGGCACAGATGTGGGTATGATGAGCCCACAGCCTCTGAGACCCAGGAGGAAGGACTTGGCTTGGCCAGAAGTAACGGTACAGAGGACAAGGGACAGGCTCTGTGCTGAATGCCTGCTATCAGTGGGCACTGGCCGGGGATCTGGAGGTCTGTCCCCTCCCCTGCTCCATGCCCTTTATAGGATCATGGCATGCTGGCACCTGCTCCTGACAGCCAGCCCTGCCCAGCAGGGCAGGAGGGAAGGTGGAACAGCTCTTGTCCCTGGCTGAGTTCCCAACCTGGGCTCCACACACATCTTCTCTCACCGCCGGACACCGTCCTTGTCTGGGTCAGCATGCTGCATGGGATGCCTGCCTCGCTCCCAGCACCTCCTGTGCCCCCTGCAGTCGGTTCACACAGCACAGCACAGGGTGGCTTGGCAGGAACCAGACCCCATAATTCAAAAGCATGTCCACCCCCCTAGTAGGTGCCCTCCTATGTGCAGGAGGAGGATCAGATGCCCGGCCAGACTCCTCCTCTCCTGCCCTACCAGGCTTGTCCCCTCAACCCACCTCTCCAGCCACACCAGCTCCCCGCTCGGCTCCTCCCATCAGCCGGGCCACCTTGACCTCCAGGCCTTTGCACATGCTGCTCCCTCTGCCTGGAGCACCGTTCCCGCCGGGAGGGTTCAGGCCAGGCTGGAGGTACTCTCACTCTGTGCATTTTCCTTTTCTCTGAGACTTTGGGTTTCTTGCTGGAGCCCAAGGCCGTGTGACAGTCTACTCTGGTCCTTGAGACCTCAGCCCCGAGGCAGTGAGAAGAGGGGCCAGTGGACTTAGGCTGACAGCCAGTGCCCGGTGAGGTGCCCAGCTGGCTCTCAGCACACACTGTGGGCAGATGTGGCGCTGATGGCTGCATTTTTGGCCGGG